AAAAAAAAAAAAAAGAAAAAAAAAAGGAAAAATAGCGCAGTTATTCCCGCCTCCTCCTCCTCCTCCTCTCTCCTCCCCGGCCAGCCCGCAGCCACGTCACCGTCACCCAGCGCTGGCTCCGGGGCTGCTCAGCAGGCTCAGCCCGGGGCTCTCCTGGGGACAAACCCCAACTTTCTGCCCGGAGCGGGGAGAGGAAGGCCCAGGGTGGGGGGAAGAGAGAAAATCCACCCTTGGGAGGGGGGAAAGTAAGCGAGGGAGACGTCCGGCTTGAGCTCCTCGCAGAGAAAAGGCGCTTGCAGCCAGGGGAGAGGGGAGCCTGAACTTTTCTCCACTAGAAGAGAAGGCTCCGGGCTGGGGAAAAAGGGAAAGTTGAGCCAGAGGAGAGAGTTCCTTTGGTTGAGGCTCGGGGGGAAAAAATTCCCTGCCCTCCCCCTCCCCGCCTGCAGAAAGTGTCCCGCTCCCTGCGCTCCAGAGCAGCCCCTCCACCACCATGAATGTCTTCCGCATCCTGGGGGACATCTCCCACTTGCTGGCCATCATCATCCTCCTGGTGAAGATCCACAAGTCCAAGTCCTGCGCCGGTGAGTGCTCCAATGGCCTGGGGAAGGAAGGGGCCCTCTATGGAGGGCGGCTCGGCGAGGGGTGCGAGTAAAACGGGTACCAAAAAAGGCCAGCAATAGCCCGTGCAAGCTGGCAGCCCTCCCCGGTGGACTCTTTGAGGGAAGTCATCCTCCTCCAGGAGGTGTCCCTGCCAGGAGAAGGCTGAGTTGGAAGGATGTGATGTGGCAAGGCGCACGGCCTCAGGCAGGTGTTAGTGTCGGGGTGGTGAAGCAAAGGGGAGGCCAGAAAGGGAGATGGAAAATGAGTTTGAAAAGTTGTGGTGGCACCAAAACAGGCAACCTCGAGAGAAGGCTGCTTTGGGTCAGAGGACCTACCTGCAGGCAGCCACGTACCAGAGGCTGCCCCATCCCTGGGCGAGGAAATCAGGGCAGCAGCTTCCCGCTGGAGGATTTTGCTCAGAGTTCACAGTTCCTTTCTCAAGAGACTTTGGGGCTGGGCTGCAGCACCGCGGCCATTATCACAGGTAGAGAAATGGGTGGGTCTCTTTGCCTCTCCCCACCAGTGGTGAGTAAACTCCATCAGCATCCCTAGGCTGGTCCCTGGTCCCACAGCTTGTTCCTGGTGGAGCAGATGTCACATCACACAGCCCCCTGGTGAGGTGGGCAGGCGAAGGGGACGAGGGAGGGAAGATAAAGGCATTTTGATGACAGTAAGGACTGAGTTGGCCAAAGCAGCGAATGTGCCTGGTCCCTACAACCCAAAGCAGGGCTCAGGGGCGTCAGCAGGATCCTGCTCTGTTACTTAGGAGGCTCTGGCCAGTCTTGAGATAGGTCTAGAGCCACCACAGCACCTACATGCCAGACCAGGCTCACAAAGCAACAAACATATATACAACGGCTTCCAAGGAAGGTGTAAGGGGAAACCATCATCCAAGGGTCCTTCCTCCCATCGGCTTCACCTTTCTTTCCCTGCCATGCAGGTATCTCTGGGAAGAGTCAGATTCTTTTTGCCCTCGTCTTCACAACCCGCTATCTGGACCTGTTCACCACCTTCATCTCTGTCTATAACACCGTGATGAAGGTAAGGAGAGGGCAGTGTGGAAGCAGGGGTTCCCCTCACCTCACTGCAGTTTCTGGGGGAAGCAAGGGTACATGGTCAATGAAATGTTCAGACAGAGGGAAGGAGGAGCCATTCCATTGTCTTCACTTGTCACCAACGCTACAGGGGGTTATACAGAGGAAGGGTGGATAAAGATGCTTCCTTTGGTGTCACTGGCCCTTCATTGACCAAAAAATCAACCCCTCACCACAGTCAGTGAATGAGGTAAGCCCGCCACATTTAGTACCACCAGAATCAGAACAAGACATGAGGAATCAAACCTGGGTGCCCTTGCACAGCAGGAGCATTAACAGATGGCTGCCACCAGGCCAACCTCTTCACACAGAGCCCTAGAGGGCTCAAGCAAGCGTGGTCCTCGTGGTGGGGCAATCTTTAGTTGACTGCTGGAGTGTCTGCAGCAGAAGTTCATCCACAGGCCAGGGCAGAAAAAGCATTCACCACTATCTCACCCTGGCACAGCCCCACTAGAACCAGGTTAAAAGATCTTGACCTTGGCAAAGCCATCCTCTCTTCAAGCACAGAAGGTGTAATCACAGGTAAGGTCTTGCCATCTCCCTTCCCTCCCCCAGGTCATTTTTTTGATATGTGCCTACGTCACCGTGTACATGATCTATGTGAAGTTCCGGAAAACGTTTGACAGCGAGAATGACTCCTTTCGCCTCGAGTTCCTGCTGGTCCCCGTCACAGGCCTGTCGTTTCTGGAGAACCACAGCTTCACCCCCTTGGAGGTAAGGAAAACCTGAGGCAGGGGAAAGGGAAGGGGGAAGCAGGAGCCTGACACCAGGCAGCAGAGTTTGCAGCATGTTGAACGGTTGAGATTTTTAACAGCAAAAGCAGGCAGGAAAGGCAAGGTTGGCAGGCCTTGAAGACCATACTATCTACAGAGCAGCTCAGCGCTGCCTCCTCTCAGTCCCAGCACAGCAGGCTCTTTTCTCCAACTCCAGCAGCACTGTTCATCCCCCTCGTATATCAATGCCCTGCCAAATTAAAGCTTTGGCTCTTAATGCTTATAGATCAGCACCCAGACTCTCCACTGCCTTCATTTCACATCTCACAGATACTCTGGACCTTCTCCATCTACCTGGAGTCTGTAGCTATCCTTCCTCAGCTCTTCATGATCAGCAAGACGGGGGAAGCAGAGACCATCACGACCCACTACCTTTTCTTCCTGGGCCTCTACCGTGCTCTCTACATTGCCAACTGGGTCTGGCGCTACTACACGGAGAACTTCTACGACCAGATCGCTGTAGTTTCAGGGGTGGTACAGACCATCTTCTACTGTGACTTCTTCTATCTCTATGTTACCAAAGGTAGGTAAAGTTATAGGTATTTTATGATTCTATTAGGAAGAAATTCTTTACTGTGAGGGTGGTGAGGCACTGGAACAGGTTGCCCAGAGAAGCTGTGGCTGCCCCATCCCTGGAAGTGTTCAAGGCCAGGCTGGATGGGGCTTTGAGCAACCTGGTCTGGTGGGAGGTGTCCCTGCCCAGGGCAGGGGGGTTGGAACTAGATGATCTTTAAGGCCCCTTCCAACCTGAACCATTCTATGATTCTAAAGGGGTTGGTATAAATCCGAAATGTTCATTTGGCGCTCATGCAACATATGGTGGAGCTACAGCTTGCCATGCGTTAATCCTTAACGTGACTTAATTCTTTGCTGTATTTGTGATGCACATTGTCCACCTAAAATCCAGTTTAAAAAACTACATCTGTTGAATGCAAACGGGCATCACTGCTCACAAGGCTCTAGACGTGTGCGTGAAACAAAGTAGAAGTTAAACCAGAGCTAAGCCTGGTTTAACCCCACCAGTTAACAATTGAGGTATATTCAATTCTAAATACATTTTGAAAGATTATGAATCACGCAAAAAAATTTGAGGAGGGGAAAAAAAAATAGCTGTAGGCAGACAATGTACCTGAGAAGCAACTGCCGACATATAGAAAGATTATTAAGCCTACTTTTTCTTTTGATGGAAAAGACGTAACGTTCCCAAGAACTGATTCCGTAGGAAGACAGGCAGCTGCACGGACACGACACCCCTTTCTATTTCCCAAAATCTGACGTCCTTTCCACTTCAGCGCCGTGCTTTTGGTAAATGGCCACGTACCAGAGCTAACAAGTGCATCATAGAATCTGGTAGAACGCGCTACGGTTTGCTGAGGCCAAAGTACGTTCTAAAACACTTTTCTGTTGGGGAAGATGGAATTTGATGAAATCTGCCTGAGGGAACAAATGTTTTTTACCTTCTTCACATTCCCAAACTATTCTGCCGAAAGCAGTAGTGATGGCCCGGCCTTTGATGGTTCAAGGATCTTTGGTAGCTTCGTGCGATATACCTGCTGATAGAGAGGTGACAGGAGCACCGAGCAGGTGGCCAGCCTTGGCAGATTAAGACTTTCTTCTGTCATTAAAACATTTTTGTAGCCAGAAAAGTACTTTGTAAAACTGCCATCAAGGTCCTCCACGTCAATTCTTTTTTTTTTTTGGTTAAACTAATTCCCATTTTAGCTTCACTCAATTGATGTGTCCCGTGTCCTTCTGTATTTTTTTGCTAAATCCATACCCTTTGTAGTTGGGGATGGTGGGAACAAAAGGGGGGAAAAAAAAAAACAACTGCTGGCTTTCAGTCTCACATCGCTAGTGATAAAACTGCAAAATTTAGATGATACAGGAGGAAGAAGAAAAAACATTTGTCCCCGGGACATCACAGCAGGAAGAGAATTGCCTTTTTCTTTTTTTTTTTTTTTTTTTTTACCACAAACGTTCCCCCTGAAGGGAGAGAAAAGGGGACTGAAGATATGCAAATGCTTTGCAGTCATTTATGAAAACCAGCAATATTAGAGCAGGTTGCACCTCTTTTACACTCTCATACACAAAAAAAAGAGCCCCTTTTCAAAACATTTCCAACACAGAAGAGCTGAGACAAAAGGGCAGAGATGCTGAAAAAAAAAAAAAAAAGCTTTTTTTTTTTTTTTTTTTTTTCTTTTACACAAACGTTCCCGCTGAAGGGAGAGAAAAGGTGACTGAAGATATGCAAATGCTTTGCAGTCATTTATGAAAACCAGCAATATTAGAGCAGGTTGCACCTCTTTTACACTCTCATACACAAAAAAAAGAGCCCCTTTTCAAAACATTTCCAACACAGAAGAGCTGAGACAAAAGGGCAGAGATGCTGAAAAAAAAAAAAAAAGCAAAGGTGTGTTATATAAAGAAATGTATTTAATAAGACTTTCAGAGCCCACAGCGAAGCATTGCAAAGGGATTTTTATAGAAGGCAACTTCTCTTTATCTTGTTTTCAAAACTAGATGAGCTCCATTCTGGGTAACACAAGGACCTAAACGATATTCCCAGGAAGCTTTCAGCTCCCGAAAGCTTGCATTTCACAGAACAGCTGAGTTTGGGGAGCAACTGGGGGTGGTAAATCATCTAATCCAGCCCCTGCTCACAGTAGGGTCACCTACAGCAGTTTGACAAGGTCCTGTCCAGTTAGGTTTCGAGTATCTCCGGGATGGAGGCACCACAGCCTCGCTGAGCAACCAGTGCTGGTGTCTGACCACCCTCAGGGAAAAAATTGTAATTATTTTTTCTTATGTTTACATGGAATTTCCCCATCACCGGGCTCCACTGAGCAGAGTCCCATTCTGCCTCCTTTACTCCCCCCATCAGACATTTATGCACACGGAGAAGATGCTCCTCAGCCCTCTCCAGGCTGAGCAGCCTCAGCTCAGCCTGTGCTCTTCCATCAGATGCTCCGGTCTCTACATCATCCTCATGGCCTTTCTGGACTTGCTCCAGTATGTCCCTGTCTCTTGGACTGGGGAGGCCAGAGTTGGACCCTTTGCCCCTTCTGTGGCGTCAGCAGGGCCAAGCAGAGAGGAAGGACCACCTCCCTTCCCAGCTCAGGAGGTTGTTTGAATTTATTGCCACAAGGGCACAGTGGTGGCTCACGTTCAACTGTGTCCACCAGCACCCCCAGGGCCTTTTCTGCCAAGCCGCTTTCCAGCTGGGCAGCCCCCAGCACATAATGGTAGGGGGGATCACTCCACCCCAGCATTTCCCTTTGCTGACCTTCATGGGGGGTCAGCCTATTTCTCCAGCCTGGCACGGTCCCTCTGACCCCATCTGCTGTTATCAGCCACTCCCCCTCGTTGTGCATCATCAGCAAATCACCTACAGGTGACTGGACCAGGTGGGCCCCAGCTCCCACCTCCAGGGCAAACCACCAGTACCAGGCTACCAGGTGGACTCCACACCACTGACCACCACAGGGCCAGGGCAGCCACTTCTCTATCCACCTCATCTATGTCTGTGGGACTCTAGCATTTCCAGGAGGTGCCCCATCCCAGCTTCCAGATCAGATGAGGTAGGTCAGGCTCAGGGAGTCTGGCCATAGACCATTTATTGCGGTCAAGTTCTCTGTTAAAAAGGGTCATGGAGGGTAGAAGGTACTGGAGGTAGAACAGCAGGCTCCAAACTACATCATCTTGAAAAAATGGGGGAATTAAGGGGGTCCACACGTTAGAAAGAGTAACCACAGAAAAGAAAGCAAGAACCTTCTCCTTTAGAGTGAAGGAGTATAGATTTTAGGGAGTTTCCTCCCTTAGAAGCAATTTTGTAGTGGTTGTCTCCCATCAAGCATCACATAAATTCTTCCCTTTTCCCTGGATTACCTGAAGAAAGCACGGCCCTGCTCCTGACCAGCCTCCAGGAGCACATGGAGGATGCCCAGGAAAGTCCATTTATCAGCTGTAATTTCACTGCCATTTGCAAACCCGGCGATCAGCTCTCTACCTCTCAAAATAGCAAGTTCAGAAAAATATTAGTTGAAACCATGAAACAGTTTAATTCCCCCAAGTTCCTTCATTACCTTCTCTTTCTCTTGGCACAGTCCTAAAAGGAAAGAAGCTGAGTCTTCCCATGCCTGTTTGAAGACACTTCCACAAGAAGTTCCGAAGATGAAGCTCTGAAGACCACAGCTTTCCTTTCCTGGCCCTTTTTTGACTAACGGATGGCTCAGCCGAGTGTCACTCCAGTGCCAGGAAGACAGTGAGGCCTGGAAAGCTGCTGTGCTTTTTAATCTGTTCGAGACTTTCCCCCTTTCTGTTTTTTTTATTTCTTCTTACTTGAATTTGGTGCTAGTTAGTGCTGGCCAATACTGGTGATGTAGTGCCAATTATTCTCTCCCAGCTCTTCCCAGCATCTACCTCCAAAACACGCCTCCACCTTGACCCTGAGGCAGCACAAGGAGTTTAAGGGAAACTGTCATTGCCTTTAGTCCTTTAACGAGTGCCGAGGCAATGTGGTACCATTAAGTCTGACAACATACACACAAGCCACTGACCCATGTCACACACGGCCACATCTGCCACAGCAGATGCTACAAACTCTTACTTTAACTCTGGATGAACCAACATCCTCCTGAAAGGTAGCTCTGCCTGACCCCCATGCTATTCAAGTCCCGTAACGTTTGGGAAAAATACATTCCCCTATAATGACATGAATCTTCTAATACCACAGGTATCCACACATCCTCCCCACTCCCTTTCAGTGACAGCAGTTCCTCATGTTCAATTTCAATTAAAATTCAGTGGGTTGCCAACAGCTGTTTCCAACTCCTTGAATTTGACTTTTTTTTTTTAAGAACTGGGAAGAACAGGGGCAAAGATGGTTTTACACTCCACAAATAAAGACGAAGTTCACAATTTATTGACAACAGTGTTTTTATTTATACCTACAAAAGAAAACAAGATGGTATCAAAAGGACAATTTACAAACTAAGAATAGTAACATAGCTTTTAGTATCCTGTGTCTGAACACCACAGATCTATGAATCTCTCAATTCAAGTCTTCGTTAATACAACAGGAATGTGTTCAGAGACCAGCAGGTGTGTGAAACAAGATGCTGATCCCACACAAAGCCACTAACCCTTCCAGCGTTCAGAGAAGTCCAAACAGCAAATCCCTTCAGAAGTGGGAGGGGAGGAGACACCCAACTCATTTAACACCTCCCACTGACTTTTACAGCTCGAAAACAAGGCAAACGACACTAGATGCTAATACTTTGATCAACAAGGGCCCTCCAGCTGGGACATGGAGCAAAGCGCAGCGAGCACCCGGTGGGACGGGGGGCAGCACATGCCACGGTGTGTTGGTGCATCCAACAGCCTGGTCAAACGCTCTGAACTGAACCGAGACCCTGGGCTTCAGCTGACCTCAACGGCAACAGGGCACTGCGAGAACTCGGCGTCGATGTTTACGCCTGCACAAGTCCTCCCCAAAAGAAGTGAAAGCTATAGCAGACTATATAAGGCAGCTTTGGCGGTCCAGAGACCCTTTTTAAAAGTCAGTCAGTGAGATGTTCTACTCCTACACCCCTCACACACACTTCTGCATTGAATTCGCAAATAATGTTTGTGGTTTTTTTTTTTTAAAAAAGGAAAAAAAAAAAAAAAATGCGGTGCTCGGTGCAGGATCTCTATCTGTGGCTACTGAGCATCAACAGGGCAACTTCTGCTGGGCAGCCTGAGAGCTGCGAGGCTGCAGCCTGAGGAGACAACCAGTCCCTTGAAAAACCCTTAGAAGCTGCAGCAGCTCACATGTGTATTGACCTCAACCTTGCAGAAGCAGTTTTTTTTTTTTAAAAAAAGAAAAAAAAAAAAAAAAAGCTCTACATTTGCTTGTGAGGGAGGCCAAAGACAAATCAGAAGTGCCTGGATAAACAAAATGTTTCTGGCTTTCACTTAACACAAGCAAAGGAACTTCCTGCCCCAAGCACTGGAATTAAAAGATGGGACAAGGGAACCAAAGTTCTGGAAGATCTCTCCCTTCTCCCTCTTTGTCAGCAACCTACCTGTGTACTGCACGCGCAAGTAGTGCAGTGCGCACTCATCCCCCAAAATTTTACTCTGGGAAGAAATTAAATTAAAAAAGAAATCGCTTCTGTATAAGCAAGCTCTTTTCCTGGGCTATAAGAAGTTTGTTTCACTCTGCTACAGGAGGAGTGGGCTGCCTTGTTCATCCATATGCAAGAACACCAACAGAAAAAAAAAAACACCACCCAAACCCCTGCACTCTCATAATGCAAAGCTTATGCCTCACAGAACCAGGAGATGTATCCATTCTTTTGTCATATTATGAAATCAAGAGCAGCCAACTCCTGTTATCATCTACTGTCTCTGAACCGTCTGGTATTAGAAATAACAAGTCAACAACATGCTTTTACTAAAGAGAAAACCCCCTCACACCCACCTTAGCCTGTAAAATAAACAAGTTTTATTTACGTATTTACTAAAATTTCACTCTTCTCTAACATTTTCTAAAATGCTACCTACCTGCGAGAGCTCAGCTCAAAGGGACCAATGGAGCAGGGAAATGCACTCAAAAAGCCAGGAAAAGCAATAGTCAGAGCAAGGTACAAAAGAAATAAAGCTTCAGAATTAAAGATGCACTAACCAGCTCACTGCTTACCTCATGAAAAGGAGATTCCAGGCAATCTCCTCCTCCACCCTTCCTCCCCTCCCCTCCCCCCAACCCACCCTATTCAAACCTCTTAAATTTAAATTTAAGTGTGGAAAACTCTTGTCACATTTTATTCAGAGCAGCGGCATTCGGAACCTTCCCCGTGGCAAAAGGTAGTTTGTTTGTGAAGGACAGACAAACGAGAGATGCTGTTCATCGTCTCAGTTCTGTTTAGTTTCTGGGCTCTCAAATAAGACTTCTCTCCATAAACCCAACAGTAGGAATTTGAGAGCAGAAACTAATTTAAGGATACTCCAAGCATTTGTGAGGCTGCAATTCAACAATCACAGGGAAAGAACTTACTTGACTAAACGTTACAGCAGCGGTACCTACAGCGACTATCTGGTTTTCAGGTACCAAACCCAAGACAGGTTTGATCTCTGACACTGGGGTTTTAATCCCAACTTCCCAGGCTGCTGCAGGTACCACAAGATGGGGCCGCTGCTTCCAGAGCTGCAGAAAACACCACCGATTTACCCGGGGCGGTACTCTGACCACCACCCAGCTCAGACAAATGACCAGAGTTTTCCTATAGAAATGATAGATTACAAGCAACTATAGTGAGCTATTTAAAAAAAAAAAAAAAATTAAAAAAATTAAGATAAGGAGAAGTGAGCATTGCTCCCTTGCATTTATCGTTTTAAGTGAAGTGCTTTTTGGCTCCCCCAAGTTTCCCACCTCTCTTGATACTTCCTGAAATTAACATGTTACAGGATAGAAACTTTCTCCCCTCAAAAGCAAATTTTCACACAAACCTTAGACACCAAGATGATTGAGCTGGGACCTATCTGCCTTACCCCCATTTCTTTTAGAGCAAATAAAATTTCCAATTTCCTCAACATGCAAGACAAAAATTAATAAATTTTCCAGTCAACTATATATATCTCTTAAAAAAAAAAAAAGAAAAAAAAGAAAGAGGACAGGGTCAGTAATGTGGACTGGGGGTCGTTTTTTGCTGGGCTTGAGGGACTCGAGTGGTGAATTCTAAGCCTACCCTGCATGAGAGACATCACAATGGGAAAGAAGAGAAAGAAAAGGTTCCTTTAAATGCAAGAGGTCTACACTGGTCACCAGCGGGTGAGTGGTCTCATTTGCGTGAGGGGGGAGGGGGCGGGGGAGGGGGTGGGTACTGGTAGGTGGCAGTCTGTCCCATATAGCCCATCACGTTAGTGGCAGGGGGCTGAGGAAACTGTTGTGACATGAGGGGCTGTGGCTGCTGACCCGAGCGCCCCACCATCCCTGCATACTGCTGTTGGGTAGTGCTCTGTGAGGTTCTCCCAGCCGTGGCAGCTGTGGTGCTGGCACCATAGCCACTAGCACTGTACTCTGCAGTGCCATAGCCACTCGTGCCATAGGCAGCTGCTCCATAGCTCCCTTGAGTATAACCATACTGGCTCTGTGCTGCCCCAAAAGCAGAATTTGGGCTCCCGTAGGCACTGCCATAGGTCTTGTTGGCTCCGTTGGCATAACTGTCACCACGCTCACGGTCTCTGAAGCCACCCGAGTCTCTCCGGCCCTCTTTCACTCCCCGGAGCCTCCTGTCACACTCTTCCTGGTACATCAGGTTAGGGTTGTTTACTGAACTGCTCGTTCGGTAACGAGAACGACCTCCTGGCGATGAATATATTAAGATTTAGTACCGGGAACACGTCTTAAACAATGAACTCTGGTACAATTATGCCACCCTTTCTCCCCCTTCTACATCCACAATTTCACCCACAAGGAGCAAGTTCTCTTGACTGACTGTAACTTCCCCGCACAGCTGTGCATGCAGCTCTTCATTTTGTTCAAGGTGTAAATATGAAGTTCAAAAGGGGTTTTTAATGCACATGGCTCAGAGACTAAAGAAACTGAAGAAATTCAGGGCTAGCTTGGAAATATAAAAAAACCTTACTGTTCCTTCAGGGAACGAAAGGAAAAAGAGTCCCCGAAGGTTAAAATCAGCGTATCCCTTCACGGATTTCAATTTTGCATGTGCATGTACACACATCCTGTTGCCTGTGCTCAGGCAGAAACTGCAAGGAGTTAATTAATTCAAGCAAAAGTAGCTCTGTGAGGAATTTATCAGGAGAAAAAATAAAAATTCTATATCTAAGGTGAAACAGTTAACTACCTCTTTTTTGGTCAGAAATACTACATCTACTTAACGTATTGATATCTCGGGTATGAAACAGTTTTATTACTAATCTGTTGTTTGCTATCTTAGTATTACCCTACCCTCTTTTAATCTTCCCTCCCTCAAAATAGGAAACCTATTTCCTGTGTAGCCCTTTTCCCATGTGCTTTTACCTCCACCACCACCTCCTCCTCCTCTGTGGTCCACAAGCTGCATCAGCTTTGGATTGATGGCTTGATTGGCTTCTTCCAACACTTTGATAAGCTCCCTGGCTTGTTTCAGGTTTCCTGGTGTGAAGAAGGTGTAGGCAGTACCTTTGTTGGTACTACGTGCGGTACGGCCAATGCGGTGCACGTAATCTTCAGAGCTGTTCGGATAGTCGTAGTTTATCACAAATTTAACATCTTCCACGTCTTGTGAAGTGCCCAGGTGCGAAGTACAGTGAAGGGGTGGGGTTGAGGAAAGGGGAGAAGAAGAGAGGACGTGCCAACGAAAGGTGGGGAGCACGAATGCAGGTGACAGTAATAAGAAAAAAAAATACAAAGTTAGTAATTGCACGGAATAAACACAAGACAGACTCATCCCAAAAGAGTACAAGACTCATATTTAAGATTATCAGGAACAAAGATCAGCGTCCTGCAAAAAAGTGGTAATTTTAAAGCAGTTTTGCCCTGCGCTCAAATTCATCCTCCCCGGAATGATTTCTCTGTCTTTATGTGTCAAAGACACTGATGTTTGTCAAATGAGCTAACTGAATTTTTAATTTTTTTAAAAATAGCCATATGGAAAGTGAAAATGCCACCATCAGACAGAGCAAACTGGGGTGGAGGAAGGGCAGAACTGCCAGAGTAAAGCTCTTACTCTGTTGGGAGAAGTCTAGCAAATAATAACGGTAATGAGATCACTTACCTTCCACTTGGTAACATGAAATAAAAGGCAATCTTAAAAATATTTACTTTTACAGTCCTAATAAAATACAGTGAACTACTTTCCCTAGCCTAAAGCTTAAGACACTCCAGTTACATTAGTATTATTCAGCAACTTATTAAAAATTATTCAGACCTAGAATA